AGAGGTATGGGTGTGTTTTTGTTCTTTGTTTCTTTTAGCAGGGGAAATGCGCTTTACTAAGAGCTAGATTAACCGCTGCATTGCAAGATAATCGATATCGTAGAGGCTGCTTCACGGAGGTGTGATAGCTGTGATAGAGGTGTGATAGCTGTGTCGCTTTGAATAACTTCTTTGAAACCCTGTGACTTCTTCGCTTTCAGTTGCTTTAGAGTCTTCCTCCTGTTCTGCTCAGTGTGCAGCTGCTCCGCCGTGTTCGTCCACCTATCAGACTTTAGATGACTTCTTTAATAATCTTCCTGTATTTATCTCTAATTGTTTCATCTATAGGTGAGTGAAACTGAACGTGTTTATATTTTAATTCGTGTCAAACTTCAAAGCTAAACTAATAAGAGTAGCCTAACTAAATTATTTTTTTTCCATGTAGAGAAAAAAATTAACTTGAATTGTTCAAAACATGACTAAATGTATTTTCCCTGTCACTTTTCATAGATCTTGATTAAGGCAATGAGTTCAGGTCACTCAAGTCTTTAACAATGAAACTCAAAAAATAACTCTTCGAATAACAATCATGGAAAGAATTTCCACGTATTTTAAATTGCTTTATTATTATTATTCTTTTTAGCATTATGCAATTCTGTTATTCCAATTTGATGAAATGTGGAAATCCTTTCCATGATTATTTTAAGTTCATTTTTTAGAGTTTTCATCAAAGTCTAGTGTCTGGTTAACATACATTTTTAATGGGTTTATAACAACTTCCACTTCATCCATCCTGGGATAGTGTTTACTCAGATGTTCAGATATTTAAGATGTTGAAAGCAGTTTTACGAGTCCATGCCCCCCTCAAAATACGGCCCTGGTAAAAATGCGTTAGCAAGCTATAACAGCCCATTTGTCTGTATCCATCACACGAGCTGATGCTTAGGCAAGATGTGTTGTTATCAAGTCTGACATTTCTGACACTTGTTAAGTGATAATTTTTACCATGCACGACAATGTGACAGAGTTCAGTAGCAGCCCGTCAGTCATTGAAATCACCACCAAGAAGGCAGGGTTATTGTTGCTTCTAGAGCCCCCCGAGATGTCATAGGGGATTGTATCAAATATGAGAAGTTTGCTCTTTAAAGTGTGTTTAACATGGTAAACTGTGTATTTCAACCATAGCTGTGATAAGATGGGGAGTTTTTTAGAGGTTCTGAGTAAATCTCATCTATCCAATGACTCTAATAGCCATTATTATTGGGGGATTTTACTATGCAACGATGAGTTGATGTGAGAGTGATTCATGATAACGCGTGGGATTTTCACAGTTGTGGTGATCAAAATAATTAAAAATCGTACTCTAATATGAGAAAACATGTTTTTCCTAAACTATCATTTTAACATTATTAGTTGTGTTCATGTTTAAAATGTGATCCCTGTGTCTGAACGTGTTAAAAGACTACCTGGAAATGAAAAATATTTCACAGAAGAAGCATTTCCTCAAAGGTTTAAACTGTTAATGCTGCTCTCAGTTCAGCTCAGGATATCGAATGTGTGGATGGGGTTGGTCGGAGAGTGCTCGGTGGCGACGCGGCGGCTGCGGGTGAATGGTGTGTGAAATGAAAAATCATGTAACGATCCAGTCTGACATCAGTCAATGTCTTTTGTGCAGGAGGTAGTTTAAAGCAAAGAGGGACCACCGACTGGACATCAAACACATCACAGATGTGTGCTCAGGTGAAAACCATCTGACAGCCTTACAAGGCATTTGTGATCACATGCTTGGTATCAGAGGACAAAATAATATCAAAGAGGAGTGTTTTATTGATGATAATGTTTCATTATCTGGGCTAATATCGTTCACGAGTGCTTTAAATCCAATTGGAAAAAACTGGTGAAGGACTTTTACAGACTCACACTGAGCTGGAACCTGTGGTCAGAGGAGTTATCTTATTGTGAACACGATATCTCCTGAACAACTTCAAATAATAGGATCATGTTTAACACAGGTGTTCAAATGGACTCCGTGATCATAGACAAAAAGCAGACGGTGGGGGGGAAAAAAAAAAAAAAAAAAAAAAAAAAAAACAAAAAGGCCGCCCCCCCCTCCCCCCCCCCCCGCCCCTAGTTGTGCGGGCAGGTACAACCACCTCTGTTAGGTCCGCGTTAATCAAGTGTTTTCCTCATTTCTAGCCTCGGCATCATCCATATGGAGTTATTAGAAAGGGGCAAATTAGGTACGAAGACCCAAACAGTTTAAAGTCTGTAGACTGCTTATTTTGCCGTTCTAGGATAATAGTTAATACAAACGGTCTCTTTTGAAGCTGTAAGTGAACATTAGAGGCACTGCATTTTTTTACTGCTTCAGGATTGACTTGTTTTTACAGTCACAGAGGTTGAAAATGTACTTTTAGTTTACACAAATGCTAAATGTAAATTAATAAATACAATAAATAAATAAATAAAACACAATGATCACGTTCAAGATATCTCGGTGTACTTTTAGGACTATTTAGAAAAAGAAAAACCTGCCTGCACTGGATGAAAAAAAAAAAAGGTTTCCATGACATTTTCACACTTGTGATGTGTGGAACCAAAAACACCCTTTTTTCCTCTGACATTTTTTCAGGCTTTTTTTGGATCAACTGTGGTGTGTTCAGTTTTAAATATCCTGTTCTAACAGTGGGAAAAAAAGATTGATTCTTTTCTTTTCTTCAGCAGGATATTGAGGCAAAGCTTGGAGCTGACGTCACTCTTCAGTGTCAGATTTCCACAGATGAAATAATCTCAGTGCTGAAGTGGAGCAGAGCTGACCTGAACACAGACGGCTACGTCTACTTCTACAGGAACAAACGATTCTATGAAAACTACCAACATCCATCTTTTCATGGCCGAGTGAAGCTGAGGCACCCGGAGATGAAGGATGGAGACGTGTCTGTGATCCTGAAGAAGGTCACATTTAATGACACTGGGATGTATGAGTGTCACGTAGCTGTGAGGAACCCTGTGAGCAGTAAAAGAGCTCACACTGAGATCAGTCTCTTCATCAACCTCACAGTCACAGGTGAGTTTGTCTACACGCCCTGAAAACTGCATCGCGCCCCAGTTTTTTGGGCCAGTTATAATTTTGTGCAGTTTTGACATAGTGGGTGGATGACTATGTGATGGGTGAAGTCATAGCATGCTGCTAACTCTGTGGATGATCAACAGCAAAACTCTGACAGCTGATGTTTTCTCTGCAGGTGAAACGGATAAAACCTTGTTGGAACAGCAGCTGAAGGGAAAAGGAGCTACAGACGGAAACATGTATGATAGAAAAGCAGAAACTCTGAGTATTCAGATTGTTGTTGTTGTTGTTCTCATCGCTGCTGTCATTGGGTTTATGGTATTTCTGAGATTTAAAAGAAGTAAGGAGCAGTTTCCAGCCAAGCCTAGTGATAAGAGGGAGGAAATGGCCTGAAATGCTAGTTTCTTTACGATGCAATAAAGAGCACCTCAAGATGATTTCATGTTATTTCTGAATGTACATCAAGTATTTACATGCTGTGTATGACCCTATTGGATTATCTCAAAGTTCCCACCTGAACCCCTTTGAGAATCTTTTAGATGTGCTGACAGCTGTAAGTCAAGCTAAATGTTTCACTTGCATATGCAAAGTGAAGCAACGAACTGTTAACAGCAGCTAACAGCTTGGTTGTTAAGGAGATAAACATGGTCCCTACAAGAATTGGCACCCTGATGTAGTGCATTCTGGGTAGCATTCAGAGGGTCATATGGATAAGTTGCGATAAGTTGCTGCTCAAAACAAAGGTCTTGTATTAATACCAGAATCAACTGTTAAATATAGAAACAGCACTGGTGTTCACATTCAGTTCCCTTTTATTTATATAGTCACATTTCACAGTAGGTTTGACTTCAAGGTGCTTTATGCTGTCAGGTTAATACCCTACAATAGCAAAAGCTCCAACAATCAAGCTGTGAACAAGCACTTGGGTAGACTCTTTATATTCAACCATCAAACAAAAGAAGCTTCAGTGACACTGAAATTACACGTAACTTAAACTCTGCTGATAATAACTTCTGTTCAGTGGTAAATGGACTGAACAGAAAAGGGGGAGCTTTAAAATCATACTGTGATTATTTTCGGAGTTCCAGAGAGTTTCAGAGCTCAGAGTACACATGACACTTGGTGCCTTTTAATTCGCCTTATCTCTGACGCATTTTTTAGCCCGATTAACTCGATTAGTAAAACACATATGAAAACATGAAATTTTCAGGGCTTCAAAACACAATTAAGCTTTGTCTCATTCAATCTAAATGTCAGAATCTGAAGGCAGTGAAGTGTTTAATAAAGACATCACAGATGTTATCCTCCACATCTTCTCAGCTCTTGATATTTCTCCAGTTCTCGTGTTCCTTGTTTGTTGCCGTCACTTTTGGGTTCCCCTGAAAAGAAAAAAAAAAATTTTGGGGGTTTTTGTTCCTGATGTTGCCGTCACTCAATATAGTCACATCTGTTCCTCTGCTTGTTCACCACTGCTAGATCCGGTTGGTTAGCCATAACCAGTTTGCTTAGCTCCAATATGAGCTAAGCTCTGAGTGCCCTCTTGTGGCACATTTATTAATTGTTTAGAATATATTTATTGCATTCATGTTCAGCTAAATTGCAGTGACGTAACTACTTAATAGCACGGTAGTGTGGGTGTTTGAAGCCTGTGAAATTCCTTATTTTTTGTAATTTCCTTTTGGCTCCTGTTTGCAGAAACCACACAATACCCAACCCTCATGTACCACTACACTGAATATAAAATAAACTGCATCTGTTGGAACTCTACATCTGGATGTCAACCTCTCCTTCTGATCCAGGATAACCACAGTAGCGCAATCCAGCATTAAAAAGATTTTACACCATCCTCCACAGCAGTACTTTTATTAATAATCAAAGTCCTCCTGACTGTGACTGGAAAGCATTTATTCCCGAACCTCTAAACTGTTAGTGTCAGTGCTCTGGTCTCTAAAGGTTTAGATTAAGATGTTGTTCATATGTCCAGAGTGTAATGGACCACAAATGTTGCTCTATATAGTCTAAGAATAAAAATATGGGACTGTTAAGAAGTTTCAGGTGACCACTGAAATACTAGCTGATAATTAAGAAAATGCTGAAACAACAAATCTTAAAGAATCCCTGTAGAAAAACAAACGACCCTTTTCTTAGTTTTTCAGGAAGAAAAGAAGAAGCCTGATTTTGCTAAATTGAGATAATTTTTAACAATATGCCTGCGTTGCAATTTACAACAACCTTGCCATGTAGAATTTCTATGAGTAAACAGGAGTATTTTACATATGTAGAAATGAAAGATAACAATAATTCATTTTCTCTTCCTCACTTCAAGTGAACTGAAATGGATCATTTTGTGGGCTGGCTCTGGTCCATGAGCCTCATGTTTGATACCGCTGGTGTAAACAGCTTTTACAGATGTTTGAGTTTCAGGGCAAAACTTTTGTTGTCAGAAAAATGTACTTTCTTAGCTTAGAGCCAGTTAAATGTGAGACAGTGTATCAGTGAGATGCACAGGAGGATAAGAGATGACACATCTCACATCAAAGTCACAGTCAGAGAAGATCCACTTAAATCTGAGCATGAATCCTGTTTATTCTATTAATCAGCTTCTATAATGGTTTTAATGTGACTGATGACTGATTAGTGATCGATTTTGTTGTTGATCAGGGTCTGAATCCAGTGACTTGCCGCTTTGTTATTAGACCCCCAGTTTGTTCCTGTTTGGGCGGGGGGGGGGACTTGCCGCTTTGTTATTACACACATGTTTATGACCCCGCCCTCAGTTTGTTCTTCTTCCTTTAAAAGACACTTGAGCGCGCACTTGAAAACAAACGCACCCGTTTTCAGGCTCGGAAACTTTCAGCTTTATTGAAAAACTGGGCTCTCCTCTCGTGAAATCTCACCATCTTTTGGATATTTAGCAAACTTTGAAAAGTAGGATCTTCCGAACAATAAGACGGAAATGGCTGCTCGGACATCTAAGGTTCCCAGCTGCACTCACCCTCTTTGTTTGCAGGTCAGTTTGAACTAACACTAAGAGTTTGGATCATATTTATTAGATTTGTTAACTTGCGCGTAAGTGAACCATGAGACTCGCTGCAGTTAAACAGTTAAGGATCATTTCCGCTCAGACTCTGGAGTAACTCTGGAGCGGGTTAAATACATATTTTCTTTTGTGTTTGCTGGCTCCAAAAACCAAAAAATTCAGTCAGAGACGGTGTGAGGAGGTTAAAAAAAAAAAAAAAAAAATTCAGTCAGAGACGGTGTGAGGAGGTTAAAAACCTTCTGCGCAGACTTTGTGCTTCTCACTGCGCGCGCTCAGATCAAAACAGGCCGTTTTGTTTTTGTCTTGTGCGCGTAACCGACCGTTTGAGCGTCTCCCACTTCACTTCATATAAAGTAAAGCTACAAGGATAAATGCTGCGTTAGTGGTGCAAATGAGACTTAACATAATATTTGGCTTCTATTAGTTACACAATTTCTCATTTTTTTCCAAACTGCAGTCCGTTTTATTTGAACAATAATATAAAATGTGACGGATTAAACTGATCAAGCAGAAGAAAAGTTACTGCAGCCACAGTCTCTGTGCTGCACTCTGCATTTGTCTGCAAACATCATACAAGTCACCACTACAACTTTCATTACTTTATTCTTATTGTACTAAATGTTTCTCATATTGTGACTTGTGCTGCCATCTGCTGGTCAAAATAAGCATAAACTGTAACACTTCTCAGAAGTGCTCGGATTTCTTGTAAATGCTCATCTTGTTGCCAATGTTCAGTGCGCCCCCAGGGTGGCTACAATGTAGCTTTCCATCACCGGTGTGTGAATGGGTGGACTAGAAAAGCGCTATACAAATAAATACAGGCCTTTTTTTTTTTTACCATTTAGCGTCTGTGTAATATTTTGCCATCATGTGTTGATATAATCCAATAAAGAATGAGTTATCTATATTCATCTATGCTCTCTCCCTCCCCCTCTTACAAAGTGAAAGTGGAGTGACAAGATTGCTCAATCGGTCCCTCGTTTCTTTTCCCGGCTCCCCATCAGGTCCGCCAGTGCCCAGACCGGCTCCGTTCAGCGCTTCGCCTCCCACCTTCATCTATGCTCTCTCCCTCCCCCTCTTACAAAGTGAAAGTGGAGTGACACCAACTCTGTTTTCAGTGCAGGTCAGGCTGCGGACTCTTCACTTCCCAGCCTCCAGTCACAGCAGTCACAGATGGAGTCCCTCATAGTCTTCCTGTTCGTGATTTCTTGCTCTGTAGGTGAGTGAAAGAGAGTTGTTTTTTTTTTAAAATATATATTTTTTAGGTAAGTATAAATATGTGTAATGTGTTTAAATGTTGATTCCCATGTTGTGTTTGCAGGTTGAGCTCCTGTGTCTCTTTGTAGTCATTTTTTTCAGCATTTTTACAGCAGCATGTTTAATGATGTAACAGCTGATGTCAGATCCAGGGGTGGGGTGGAGGGATTTTAAAGGCCCAGAGTTCACCTGAATCTGGCTGCTGTAAGCTGCTTGTGTTTTGAGTCAGCAGCCACTTTGTGGTTTGTGTGTCCTTTGAATTGCTGCACGATGAGAACAGCAGCAGTCACTCTGGGTCTGAAATGGACACCATGAGATGTCACTTACACGAGATGTTGGACAACCTTTCCCTTTTAAAGTGTGTTTAACGGTGTAACTTTGCATTTTTATCTTAACTTTCTTCCCCCTGAGTTCTAACAGTGAAAAAACAAAAAGGGAAATGCGAAGTGAAAGCAAAACTTCAATCCAAGACTTTCTCTTTTGGTTGGGAGTGTTTCAGTTCTCCTTTCATTTCTGCTTTGGGTTTTAAGGAAATCCTTTATGTCACATAGCTCCAATGTGAGACCTCCCAGCATTAAAACATGACAAGGACAGCTCCGGACTGTGCTTATGTGATGAGTGGGGCTGAGAGTGTTTTGTGCAAACATATAAGATTTTCAAATTTATTGTAAAGAAGCTCATTCCAAATATGCCTCTAATAATTCCACAACATAAAAATATTATATTAACTTGTGACTTTATTCATTGTGTATTTGAGTCTCTTTTTTTTCTTTTTTGTAAATTCATGAAACTCAGAGCTTCCATGCAGGAAGGTGGAAGGAGTCTGAAGTGATGTAAAGCTTGGATTAGCTGTCAAACACCTGGGGATCAGACAGGTGTTTGACTAAAGATCATCTTTATTGAACTTGAACACATAAGCTTCATTTATATGAAAGTTTAAGTGTTAAGTGTAAATTAAGTGCAGTACACTCAAAAAAGAAAGAAAATCTGCTTTTATTTGACTTTAACTACTTTAATTTCATATATATATATGAAACATAAAACAATATAACATCACACACACATTTTTTTTTCAGGTAATTTTGTTACATAGGTTCAATTTAAATGTTCGATTTAATGGAATTTAGTCAAATGAAATTAACTTGATTCATTTTATACCAAGCACTCATAAATCCCACTGTCATTAAATGTGACACTGGCCACATTCTTAATGAGCAATTATTCGAATAAATAAAAAAGTATTTTACATGTTTCAGTTGCATTTTAATTAAAATCATTGCTTTATGTTTAATAAGGGTGTATAGTATTTATTTTTAGTGTGATAGACAATAAAATTGCACAATAATCAGGTACCTTTGAAATAAATAGACAACAAAATACAAAGTAAAGTAGCCAAAAGTTACACTCAAAGTTACTTTCTTTCTTACCTGTAAAATTTCAACTTGTTAGTCTGTTATTTTAGTGCCCTGCAGGGTACATAATAATAACATAATTCAGCTAAAATACTCTGAAATTACATTTAAATTAACGGAATTACACCTTGAGACTGGTTTTTACAGAGTCAAGTAAACATAGTTGGAGTTTATTTGATGCCAAAGAAACTTCAACTAACTGAGGGAAGCCTAGCAGACAGCCAGCAGCTACAGCCCTGTGTTAGGGCCCATCGTAATCAAGTATGTCTCCGATTGTAAGCCTCTGCCCACACAAAGCTGTTACAGAACGGGAAATTAGTACAGAGACCAAAACTGTTTTTTGTGGGCCATAAACATTTTAACACGGTGCTCTGTGAGGACTGACGAGCAAAGAGCCTCAAACTGCTGTTTGAGGCTCTTTGCTGTTGTCTTGATTTTTCAGCCACAAATTCTTATCAAGTGCTGTTAACAGTTAAACATGTTTTAAAAATTTAAAAAGGAGTTACATTTTAAAAAGATTATTTTCTTTCCTTCAGCTCTTCAGCAGGATGTGCAGGCGAAGTTTGGAGAGGACGTCACTCTCCAGTGTCAGATTACTACAGATGAAAGAATCTCAGTGGTAAAGTGGAGCAGACCTGACCTGAACACCGACGGCTACGTCTACTTCTACAGGAACAAACGATTCTATGAAAACTACCAACATCCATCTTTTCATGGCCGAGTGAAGCTGAGGGACCCGGAGATGAAGGATGGAGACGTTTCTGTGATCCTGAAGAATGTCACGTTTAATGACACTGGGATGTATGAGTGTCACATAGCAGTGAGGAACCCTGTGAGAAGTAAAAGAGCTCACACTGAGATCAGTCACTTCATTGACCTCACAGTCACAGGTGAGTTTGTAGAGCTCACACTCAGCTCCCATATCATAAAACCCCCAAAACATAAAAGCGTGAAATTACGAACAAAAATCTAAAACTGCTTGCTGCTAGTATTTCTCTACTCTACGGAAACTGCATGATTATTTGTGACTTGGCAAATAAACAAACAAAAGCCAGTGAGCTACAATTTATCCACAGCTTCTTCTGCTCAATTCTTTTAGTGTTAAGCGTGAAGGGGAAACGGCATGCTGCTAACTCAGATGCTAAATATTAAACCACTGTTTGAAATATTCTCTGACAGCTGATGTTCTCTCTGCAGGTGAAACAGATGAAAAATTGTTGCAGCACCAAATCGTGGAAAGTGAAGCTGGAAACATCCAGGATGTTGGAGACGTAGTAACTCCAACTCTTATAATGGGTGTTTGTTATGTTGTGGTTGCTTTTATTGTTGTTGGTTTTCTGACATTATTCATATTTAAAAGAATTCAGTTAAAAGGACTAAAGGTTACAGTCCCTGATAATGCATTGCTTTAGATGGCGAGACTCTTGAGGGACGGCTGTTATGAGGAAAGGCAGCCCAGAAACTTTGCAAGCAGCACACGTCATTGTTGCCTCAACTTTCAGTCTTTTACCCAGGCTAATCTGCCATTTTCCTTCCTTGGTTAGGTTTAGGGATTAGAGATCGATCTAGATTATCATATTAAGATTTGGGACACATCGCCAGTACTGGACCTTGGATTCATCGGGTTTTTCGGACATTATCACTAGACACCCTCATCAAGGAGGCCCTGCCAGGGTTGATCAGGCCCTGCAGTGTGTCACTGGTTAATGTTAAATTGTTATTTCTTTTCTTCTGTTTAGTTTCCTACAGTTTATTTTCTATCTACTGCAACTGAGAAATAATGCTTAACTCTTTAGCATTTATGAAGCCGTACTTCTTCAAAGGGATAGAAAAGGTGATGTAAGACAAAAGGGACAAGATAGGAGAGAGCAGAGAGGAGAGCCGGAAGAGAGGCGTCCGATCTGGCTTCCCACACCTCCCCGCCGGATCAGGCTGTACGCTCTACCTCCCCACTGCCTCCCAGAAAAGGGAAGAAGAGCAGAATATTTCTTTTCTCTCATGGTTAGCTGATTGCCTTAGTTGCCCAAGTGATGTCGGCCCTTTTTAGCCATAGCCAGTGACTGGTCCTCTCAACAGTGTTAGCTAGTTTTCTTTTAGCCTGCCGTTGCGCCTGTCCTCTGATTCCAATCTTTCTAAGCAGTTTTGCTGATGTACTGGCAACAAAGCCCCTGCAACCCACTTCCACCAGGCGCACCTTGATCTTCCAGCCTCTGTCCTCTGGAAGTCAATTTAACATGTCCAGAAATATGATTTTATAGAAAGAAAATTTACAGATTTGATGAACTAACACTGATAGCGACTTTGCCAGGCAGCTAAGCAACATGGCCTTTTGGTTTAAAAGTGAAAAATAAGAAATAAAAAGACTGTTCTGTGGTTATCAAAAACATAACAGCTCTGCAAACTCCTCAAATAAACAGCAAATTCAGCCTGGAGCTTCTCACTGAAAATAAACATAATAAAATAAATAGAAAATTCTGAAGAAAATCACAAAAAATGTTTCCGATTGGTGCTAAAAAAGGATTCAGATTGTAAGAGTTACTGAATTGTCCAATAACTTGTTTGTTGTTTGTGTACTGTCATCAGTCTGTGTTTGATGTTGATCCAGAATAATGTGAAACAACGATCCTTGTATCCTCACGAGAGTTTGCACAAAGTCGTATGGTGCTGTTTAATAACAGATGTGTGTTTAGCTCAGTGTCAGTGTCCTTTGCACGAGTGGTCACCTGCTGCTTTTAACTCTTGACCTTTTTTTGTAAACGCGGTATACTGGTTTGTTCTGGTTTCTTTCGGTCTGTTGTGTAGGACTGTTCACCTGCACATCTGCCCTAATTACCAGTATGATGTTCAGAAATGTCTTGGCCATCAAATTATTAATAAATAAAAAAAGAATAAAAACTGAAAAAGGAAACACAGAATGTGTCACAACTTTCTTTCAGATGCAAATTTAGCCCACTCAAGCTTTTAATTAACTCTTTAAATTCAATCAAGTAAAAAAAAAAAACTTCACACATTCACTGAAATAGAACATATGACATGATGTACAAACTGGGTGTGTGATTTTTGCAGACCTGCTGACTGTCAGGGAGATTTGATGCTGTGAAGAGAAACAGGTTTAGGCTTTCAGAGCGAGAGGATGATGATGTTAGGTGAACACCCACAACATCTGTGGAGGAGGGTGAACAAATCCCATCTGATCCTCATTTGTGCTGCAGAAGTCACAACGCTTTGATTCAAAGCAGGTCACACAAGAACCCCAAACTATAGAGAAATGCCCCAGTTCCCTAAACTCAATCGAAAGAAGTTTCTATTTCTGTAACATTTAACAGAGATAAATCCTCCACAACTCTTCTGTCATATGAAAGAATCTATTTTTGTAATATACAGGGAGTGCAGAATTATTAGGCAAATGAGTATTTTGTCCACATCATCCTCTTCATGCATGTTGTCTTACTCCAAGCTGTATAGGCTCGAAAGATAACAGATGTGTGTTTAGCTCAGTGTCAGTGTCCTTTGCACGAGTGGTCACCTGCTGCTTTTAACTCTTGACCTTTTTTTGTAAACGCGGTATAATGGTTTGTTCTGGTTTCTTTCGGTCTGTTGTGTAGGACTGTTCACCTGCACATCTGCCCTAATTACCAGTATGGTGTTCAGACATGTCTTGGCCATCAAATTATTAATTAATAAAAAAAGAATAAAAACTGAAAAAGGAAACACAGAATGTGTCACAACTTTCTTTCAGATGCAAATTTAGCCCACTCAAGCTTTTAATAACTCTTTAAATTCAATCAAGTAAAAAAAAAAACTTCACACATTCACTGAAATAGAACATATGACATGATGTACAAACTGGGTGTGTGATTTTTGCAGACCTGCGGACTGTCAGGGAGATTTGATGCTGTGAAGAGAAACAGGTATGTGTGGCTTTCAGAGCGAGAGGATGATGATGTTAGGTGAACACCCACAACATCTGTGGATGAGGGTGACTAAATCTGATCCTCTGATCCTTATTTCTGCTGCAGGAGCCACAACGCATTGATTGTTTATTTTTTTTAATTCACAGAGGGCTACACAGAAACCTATGGAGAAATGCCCCAGTTTCCTATACTCACTAAGCACAAAAACTAAATTGAAAGAAATTTCTGTTTCTGTCACATTTAACAAGAACTATTTCTTTTATGAAATAGTGTCAGTGCTGAAATCCCTTAAACTGTCCTGAAATATCAGCTGACAGACCAGCTCATACTGAGGAGACACACAACATGATAGAACATATTTTACATACACTTGGAAACCACGATGAACTCAGAGTCATGAGTTAAAACAATTCAAAATAGTGTCAGTGCTGAAATCCCTTAAACTGTCCTGAAATATCAGCTGACAGACCAGCTCATACTGAGGAGACACACAACATGATAGAACATATTTTACATACACTTGGAAACCACGATGAACTCAGAGTCATGAGTTAAAACAATTCAAAATCTGCTTCTCTAACATAATCAGATTTTGAATTGTTTTAATGCAGCTGAAGCTGTAAAAGGGAGAAACAACACTCGTGTTTACAGAGTGAAACACTTTCAGACGCTCAGGTGAGATGATCAAGTAAAGCAGAAAAAATATAACGTACAGCTTACAAA